GAGATTCAACTAGCTGAGCTCCGTCGAGAGTATCTGAACTTCATCGTCGTTGTTCTCAACCAAGGTCTCGGGTCTGTGTTCGTCAGCAATGGTAAGTCGACGACATCAAATATAGACTTGACACTGCTAACGTTCCGCAGTAAATCAAGCGACATTCGAGCCCATAATTTCTTCGATCGAAACGTTCGCTCGCGACACACACGACTACCCTACCGCGCGCCTTGCAATCTTTGTTCTTATCCGCATGATCACGGTGTGGGGCGGACCCGACAAAGTCGGGCCTGGCGCGAACGCAACACCCACATCTCCCGACACTGCTCAAGCACCATTGCCGGGTTTCGACAACTACGTGGTAGATAAGTTTTCTCCGTTGGCATGGTCAATTCCGGCATCGCCGGGCTTCAACTCGAAAGACGCGCAGGCAAAGCAAGTCCTTTTTGAGGCCGCCAACCTGCAGCACGAGATCATTAAGAAGGTTGGCGAACCGTACGTGGAGCGACTCAAGAGCGATCTTGGTGGCATGGGAGTGGGCGACGACGGCGCGGACCAATACATGCGCACCCTCGCCGGCTCGTTCGAGGGACAGAAGAAAGAAAAGGAATGGCGCAACTTCTACGTTCAATTCGTGGATCGCATGCTTGCAAGCCGAGGTTGAGCTTCGATACCTAGTCCGGTTTCGAGGATCATAGTGGAGGTGGGATTTATCAGTTTGGCGTAATATTTGTCCATCATGAAGGCGGCATCATTCTGCATCGTAGCGGGCGCCAAAAGGCTTGGTATTGAGTTTGATTTCCGTGATAACCCCAGCAGCTAGCTCGCATCTTCGTAGTGCAGCCTCATTACAAGATAGATTTCCCATCATAGTATACATCAAATGTGTTTGCAGTCTAATACTGTGCCTCATAGCATGATGATAGCATGTCATAGTGAGGGACGAGCAGAGATGCGAGCCTCCGGACGCGATGTAGTCGCGCCTGCCGCTTCAGCCCTACACTCTCGCGCTGCACCAACTTCACAACGGCACTACCCTCCAGCTTCCTCCACCAAACCACCAATTCTAAACCCGCCTCATCCCGGCCCGAGCCTCTCATCATTCCCGCAAGCAGTGTCGCACGAATGCCAACATGCAATGTGATAGATTCGCGATTTCTCCACATGTCCCGAAGAATGGCTTAGCAAGACCCGCCCAAGCGCTTCGCGTTTCACCCCACGCAAACCGATTCGTCAGGAACGCCCCAAGTTCAACCTGAGACTTCAGGAAGCGCGCTCCTAAAATGTCGAGTGGAAAGTTCATTTAACCCTATGCTAAGGATTCGCTCTGGTACTACGCCGTATAGGATGGGTATACGGCAGCAAAAGAAGTGTCGTTCGCTGTGTGCGAACTATCAGCCTCATCCTACCTTTAGCTTTCTTCCCGCTCAGCGTTGTGTCCACCCCCCTCCTTTTCAGAACTTTGTCACGGTGACGCGGCTTCGTATTTTGTGTGACCAGAGGGAGCCATGGATGTTAGCGGGTTTTCACGCTGGAGCCCTCTTCGTCGGCATGATTTGCGTGGCCTGCCGACTGTAGGAGTGAGGGTTGATGCCGGAGTGGACGCGGGTGCAAATGCGACGCCGGTGACCGCGGCGAAATCGAAGCCGAAACCGACGTCGAAACCTGAGACTTGGGAGACTACAATTGAAAAGGTTGGGAGTTGGCCTGAGGAAGCTCGGCCATTGAAGGCCCATACCTGGTTGAAATGGCTCTATGCATTGGGAGACATCTTACTCGCATTGCTGCCGCTGTACTTCATCCGTAAGCTACCAAGTTTTATCCTATATTGCTGATCTAACTTGTGTAGTTCTTAGTGTTGCCGTGATCACCCTGAATGGGAAACCAACTCAAGGCTCTGCATTCGGGTCTGAGGTGGAAACGGCTATGGATCTTGTAAAACAAAAAGATGTGTCGGTATCATACAGTTCACTGACAGGTGCAGGGCCCAACAATGTTTCCTATCGTGTTTGCTGCCATAACGGGAAGAAGCATGAAGATGATTGCGCGGTTCCTGGTGGAAAGAGGGTCCAGAATCAGCGTATGTACATCTTCTCGAAGCTGGTTCCTCAAGAAGCTGCTGCAGTCGTGGATCAAGTGACTAATTCGTCTTTAGACACTTGAACTGCTCATGGCAAGTCAGTCTGTTTGGGGCACCTTGGAGAGTCAACTGCTGATGCAACGACTTACAGTCGTTGGCGTGAACCTTCTCTTCCTGTGGGCTCTTTCGCCACTGGGTGGCCAGGCATCACTTCGACTGATGACAAGAAGTCTGAGAGCTTCTCATAAATCTGGGAAACTTCGATACATGACTACCGGACCAGCAGCAACTATGTGGGGGCTGTCAACAACCTATATCGACAATGGGAAGTTTGCTGATGCCGGAGCTCTCTATACCGCAGCACTATTGGCACCACTGCCCACGAAGCTAGGAACTCAAGATCCCTGGGGTAACGTCAAGATACCCAGTTTGCAGTCAGTCAACTCGTCGTCGCCCGATTCCAATGGCTGGTATACGGTGCCTAAGGACGCCTCATCGCCGGAAGACTATTCTTCTCTGGTTGGTCTTCCCATTGTTGGTCTTCCATCCCGTGACAGCTCAAGCTTCAATCTCCAGTACACGTACTTGGCGTTAGACTGTCAGCCCTTTACACAAGCGCCTTACCCTGGCGTGAACGGCTCAGATAATTACTATACCACCAATTATACTAAGCTGGACGATATGGCGCCTGGCCAAGTATGGTTCGAAAAAGAGGAGGATGATCCCTTCGGCAACCCCATGGGAGATCGCAACTCTTTCTTCATGGATACAACCCGGAGTTTTCCATGGGGGATCAAAGTCGGAGACGACCAGGACCTCTTCATGGGTCGTCTAAACGGGTTCTTCGGCAACTACAATACCTCCCTCATGCCCGAAAAAGAGCTTACCATGAACCGAGAGCTTCTGTTTGTCTCACAATACGCAACAACCAATAGTGGCAACGAGATTGGACTAAACATTGCGACATGCTCTTTGTCTCAGACTCACGTTGAAGCATTCGTACAATGTAAAGCGAGCACTTGTGCCACAACCAAGCTCCGGAAATCGCTTGAAGACACTCGTTCCACATCGCTCACTGGGCTCGAGCATGGTACGATCATGTTCGCGTTTGCGAAACAGTTTCCTCGCGCAGTACAGTTCACGACTGGTTCGAGCCCAACCGAGCACTTCTTGGCCAACACTTCGGCCTTTCCATTCGTGCAGCAAGTCGGCCACTCACCTAGCGATGTCATGTTTACGAACCTTTCACGGGTGTCCCCCGATTTGTTCTCGAAACGACTCAGTCTGGTAATGAACACCTTTTACCAACTGAGTATTCAGCCGACTGGCTATTTTGGTAGCTTACCTCAAAACCTATCACTTTATGGGCCGGACACAGATACGTTCGACGACATTAATGCTTACCTACCGAAGAACTTGACGGCCACCGAGCATACCTTCAGCGACTGGTACACTACTTTTGAACAACAGACACAGGACATTAAATCGCCATTCATTGCAGCGACAACATCAGCCATTATCACCGCTACAGAACAGATCTTTGTTTGCAACTTTGCTTGGCTTGCACTCCTGCTTGCCGCATCCACGATCACCCTCATCACAGGTGGTGTGGCTTTAGTCTTGAAGCGCAGGACTTTAGGACCGGAACTCTTTGGTTTCGTTACCAGCATGACCTATGAGAATCCTTGGGTCAAGGTACCCGATGGAGGGACCACGCTAGATGCGATGGAAAGAGCGAGACTCCTGAAAGATCTTGAGGTATACGTTGGCGACGTGCGCGGCAGTGACAGAGTTGGTCACATTGCTCTGGCTGCGGGCGTGCCGATTCGCAAGTTAGAACGAGGGCGGCTCTATTACTGAGCTCGGCTAAAGCTCAATGCCGCATGGCTCAAGGAGACATATGCCACACCCGCTCCACATGCCGTCGTGGCGCAGCATACTCAGCCCTTCTCCACGACAGGCAAGATGCAGGAGGACTCCGAAAAGATCAAGACTTCGCAGACCCTGTAGCATGCTGGCTTGACAATTGCATTTCTAGAGGACGAAGATTGCGTTGTTGCTCCCAACCGGCAATCAGAAGCGATATCTTGGATACCCACAGTCGTAGCTGGCGAAGATCATGACCGACAAGCTGGCGCTTTCCGATAGCCAGTCTTACACAGTAAACGGATGAAGGTGTGACAGGGCATACGCGGCGCCAGGTAAGAAACCAAGCTTCGTTCCCACACGCGGTGGAGCGGATTGTGGACGCCAATAGCTGAAGGCGTCGAGAGGCCGTAAGCGGCTCACCAATGGGCCTGGCAATGCAGGGATCATTGGCTCGGAGGTGCGACGCAGCATAAAACACACAGGGGTCCGGACCTTTTGCCGACCTGCTAAGCGACGACGCCTCAACCAATGGACGTTCAGATGCAACATCGAAACGAAACCTCTCTCCTTAGGCCCTTCACCGACACATGGTGATCCTCGAGTCCACGTCTTCGTCGCCTTCCCACTTAGGCAGTGACGCATGATGTACCTGCGTCGGCTGCGTGCCGTTCTAGTATTCCCTTGGCTGAGAGCCTCAGTACACCCGGACCGCCCGTTTCATCCCGTAGACGCTCGCCGCTGTGGATCGCCAACGACTCCCATGTACCTTGTCTTACGTTGACACTCTCGCCCTCTAGACTACCCGTTTGATTAGGGGATCATTCGATGATTCGCAATGCGGAGGCTTTGGTGGCGATACGCAATGGTGGTGACACAAGTATAAGAGACTACAGCTGCCTCACAGCATAATGCTCTCATCGCAACACACGCTCTCTCGGCAACTTCTACATTCTTTCCATTGCAGTATCTTTTGCACGACTAGCAGGGCTAGCTCATCCACATTCTCTTCGATTTTAACATTCTACTGTCGTTGTACGATATCACTACTACCATCATCAACATGTCTCTCCGATCTATCTTCATGGCTGCGGCTGCCATTTTCGCTACTTCCAACGCTCACATGATCATGAAATCTCCTGTACCATACAGTGTAGATAAAATCGACAACGCACCCATCACCGCATCGCAATACCCGTGCAAGTCTAATCTTGGCTTCACTGTCTCAACTATGAACTCGATGGCTGTCGGTCAAAAGCAATCACTCACTTTCTCTGGAAGTGCTGTTCACGGGGGTGGCTCGTGCCAGCTCAGCGTCACTACAGACACCGAACCTACAAAGGATTCCGTCTTCAAGGTCATCAAGTCTATCGAGGGTGGCTGCCCTGGTATCGACGGACCCGAGGCTTTCGACTTCGAGCTTCCTGACAGCATCCCCAACGGCAAAGCTACCTTTGCTTGGACATGGTTCGCCAAGTTGAGTGGCGGCCCAGAGATGTATATGAACTGCGCACCCATCGAGGTTACTGGTGGTGCCAGCGACAAGTCCAAGTTCGACGCCCTTCCAGATATGCTCGTCGCCAACATCGCATCAACCACTTGCAAGCAGGAAGTCAGCAAGGACTTGAAGTTCCCCAACCCTGGTTCAAACCTCCAAAGTGGTGCAGATGCCGGCAATGTTGTTGACCCCAGTGGCGACTGCGGATCTACTGGTACTACACCCTCTGATCCTTCTGAGCCATCTTCCCCTGCTGGTGGCCAGTCAGCTGCTCCCTCATCTCCTGCTGGTGGAGAGCCATCTGCAGCTCCCACTTCTGCAAACGATGGTCAGTACCATCCTGCTCCTACCACCCCCGCCGCGGGCCAGCCATCTGCCGTTCCCACATCTGTTGCTGGTGGCGAGTCATCTGCTCTCCCGCCCAATGGCGGGGGTGTCTTCGCTCCTGGAGCATCTAGCGCTGCATCTATCGCTCCCCCAGCCGTACCCACAGTGCCATCGACGTCCACCACACTCGTTACTGTTACCGCCTCACCCACTGCTCCCTCTCCGGTCGCACCCACCGTTCCTGCTGGAACCGGCTCTCCTGCCGCTCCTTCTATGCCTTCAACTCCTTCAGCTGGTGGCGCGGGCACTTGCACCGAGAACGGCTCTGTGGTCTGCAACGGCGCCGATCAATTTGGTCTCTGCAACAACGGCGAGGTCGTCTGGCAAGCCGTCGCAGCCGGCACAACCTGTGTCAACGGCAGCATCACAAAGCGTGGTTACAACGGACGCATCGCTCGTCCTCGTTGGTCCAGCCGCCGCGTTGTCAACTAAACGCACAATGCCTCATGATACGCATCGCTCACGACACATGTTGAAACATAACTGCATTCATACATTCGTTTCTTCCACCTTTTTCGACTGGGAATGTGGTCTGGGACCGAACTTTCCACTGTACATAACCAAAGCTTTTCTTCGCATCTATTGGCGTTCTGTGTTGGGACTTTTCGAAATTTTCGAACGAACACTAAGGGGCCTGAGTATCGACAGGGTCACAAGGATGCCTGCCGGTAGCCAAAATCACCCTCGTTTTAGAAGCCTTAGAAATGAAACACGATTTCTGATACCATGCCTTTTCCGATTTAATTGCGTGACTGTAGCATCTGTCGTTACTAATGTGTATTGAAATCGGCTGAGAGGTAATTTGCCAGTTGTCGAAATAGTGGGCGTTGTTGGTTGATTGACAGCTTGATGATCCTACAATTCGTTCATTTCACATCACATAAAACTTGCTCCCGTTAACCATCTCGTTCATCTATCACAACACTATCAGCCCCATGTCTACCCAGCATGCGCACAAACATATCCCATTCTCTCATCCACTACAGTCCACCCTCGAATATCCATCCGCCTCCCTGAGCCAGATCACTAATCAGGCTCGGAGCGCGGATGTCTTAAACCTCGCATGCCTGACCATCACAGGGCCCTCGAAACCCGGACCCCGGCATCAAAGCCGCACAAGCATCATCCCACGACAAATGATGTGAATCATCTTAGATCTGGAAATAGAATTAGGCTTGCTCAGCCACTATAATAGCTAGTGTCAGGTACTAAGCCCTTGATGTCCATGGAGTGGGGTTGGTGGGGGTGTGGCGCAGTATGGACGAAAAAGGCGAGGGCGATGTTTCCAAAGTTGGGATATGCCTAGACGCAGAGCGATTGGGCGATACAAAGAATGCCTTTGGTGTTTGCGAAGTGTGGTGCGCTCATAAGTGGAGAGACTAAGCCCCAGGGCAGGTTAGTAGTTCAGAAGTAAATATGTCTTCATTGCGCGTGTTATTCAACTCCAAATCAACCCAGAACCTTTGAATGCCAAGTATATCCTTCGCAGGAGCCAAGACTCGCAAAGCTATCGGTCGGACAGAATGTTGTGCGAGTCCTTCTTTGCACTGGCAGACTATCGTCGGAAACCCTATGTCGCTGGTGAAGCTGGTAGCTGTTTGGTCGAAGCCACAGAACGAGCTTTCGTCGATACAGCTCGATAAGTTCGCGGCTTGAGGAATGGTCAATAGTGCCCAGGTGCCATGGGGGAAAGTTGCATTGCTCAGCTTTGGAACCTGTTTAAGGCAGTGACGCGTTGTGCAGGAACTTAGCTGCTCTAGATAACAGAAACGATAAAGAGGTGTACAGAGCGATAGAGCACGAATAGTAAGATTATGAAAGCTATGTGAAGCTGGCTTCTGAGCTTATGATGTCATGATCCAGATACTCATGTCAGCTATTGAAATGACCGTGCCATTATAAACTTGATAGCAACTTTTGTGACCGCAAAAATCCAAGGGCATTTTACCGTCGCTTACCGATTGTGGCATGGTGGCAAAGAGGGACCAACCCCTATTTCGTGCCGTGGCGATCGGCAGGATTGAGACGAACTCCGGGGCCATCATCGATTTCATCCCAGCCATCAAGCCCATGTTAGAAGCGACCCTTACTGCAGACCCTTTGATTTGTGTGAAGTATCTAAGTGTACCGCTCTTCGATTCGGGATATCTACCCCCCGTGGAGTGTGTCCGCCAGACCTGGCCGAATGCGGCTAGCGGCGCAAATTTCCTCAGAAATGCGGGACAGCGGTGTGAAGTTTTCAGGCCTTGGCCCAATGCACTACTCCTGGCTCGCTCGAGGGGCGAGCTTCCACGTACTTGGCAGTAGTGAAGGCTTCCCATAGGTCCGCGAGGAAAGATGTCTTCTTTTGCGCAATGTACTTGTCCCCAAGCAACGGCGCAATGGCAAACGTAGCCTCTTCGCAGTGATAGAAGGGAATGCGCCTGGGCTGTCAGTTTCAGATCCAACACTAGTTAAAGCGAATCTACTTACGGGAAGATGTGATGCACGACATGGTATTCAATGATGCCGTGAAAGATGTGGCGTCCAATAAAGCCGAATTCGCGATCCACAGTGGACATGGCGCCCTTCTGGTAAGTCCAGGCCCCATCTTCGTAATGAGGCGCTTCTGGGTGCGTGTGGTGGAGATAAGTGATAGCGACTTGCATGGTTAGTGAATGCTGTTTACACGGTTGGGCCAAAAAGATGCTTACCGATCCAATGGTTCATCCAGAGGTAAGGAAGACCGTACAAGAAGAAAGTGTTTCGGTAGCCTAGGGTCTGGGCGACTTGATAGAGGACTGCAAAGACGGCCACGATGCCTGCGTTGGATAGAAGGACGTATGGCTGCTCTTGACGAGTGAAGACGGGCGAAGTGGGATCGAGATGGCTTTGCTTGTAGGTCGGCACGGTGGATCGACGGCCTCTGGTAAGGCTTTGTGCGCCAGCTCCTGCGTTGATCAGGATGTAGGCTGGCCATCCGAAGAGCTGGTGAATCGCCAGAGTGAAGAGACTGACGATGGGTGTATCCGCCGCGTCGTGGTCCACGAGGCGTGTCAAGAAGCTCGGTTCGGCCTTTGACTCGGAGGTTGGCTTGCGGTTGGGCACGAAGACGGTGTCCTTGTCCATGTGGTTTGCGTAACGGTGATGACGGGAATGGCTGAACTTCCACGAGAAGAATGGGACAAGAAGAATGCTGTGAAGGACCCAACCAACTGCCGCATTGACTTGGAGATGGCTTGAGAAGGAGTCGTGGCCACATTCGTGGGCCAAAATCCAAAGCCCTGTGAAGAACAGACCTTGGACAAAACTGTAGAGGACCCAGAGCGGAATGGCCCAAGACGACTCAAGACGTGTCAAGCAGACGGCAGAGTAGAACAAGGCGCTGACCGCCACGAGGTCTCGTGCAACGTACGAAAGGGATCTCAGAAGAGAGCGTTCGAAGCATTTTTCTGGGATGGCTTCTCGAAGAGCCTTGATTCCGGGCACAGAGGCATCTCCAACCGGTGCCATGTCCGGCGAGGTGAGCGTCTGGGTTGTGGTTGCACTCATGGTGGGTGGTGGAGGAAGAATGTGAGAGAGACGGAGAAAGGAAGAGGAAGGGAGAGGGCACGATTATCTACTCAGACGACAAAGCTGCACAGTCCTAAAGGGCCCTTGGTGCGTTCTCAACAAGGCAAGACGAAGACGCTCAGTGGATCAGATTGGACCCCTATGTGGAGTACAGTGTTGCGGAAAGTACCTAGGTAAGTCCTGGACTTAGCTTTGGAGACAAAGCTTTAGTCTAGAGCGGCCCGACGATAAAATCGAGGGATGGAATGCTGGAGCGGCACGCAAGGCCCGTTTACGCGCAAAAGTCGGTGTGAAAGATCAAGAGCAACCAAACGGCGTCCGCGTAATTGCTCCTTTACTCGACAGGGCTGGGCGGCCGTTGGAACGGTCTACACATGGCTGCCAATCTCGTACCCAACGTGAACAAGACTGCAGATCTCATTCGCGTCAGCGACCCACATGCAACCAGGAGTGTTTGCTCAGTTTCGGCGGTTTTCATATCGCAGGTTCTGGCCTAGCTATGCAAACCATGTATATACCATTGATAAGTACCGGAGAAACTGTTTGGGATTGAGTTTGCGCAACACGGCGGCTCAAAACGGCTTTTTACACGCCATGGCGTCCGTTGCCACGCTTATCTCACGGCGCGAGGGCCCGTATGCTCAACAGACGCATCCTAGCCATAGAAAGCAGGAGGGAGGAGTCTTTGTCTGGGTAGCAAGCAGACTAATGCTACCACTGTGGGGTCCCGATGTCGTGGTCGCAGGAAAAAAAGGGTTCAGGCACATTTGCTGGACCCTGGAACTAGCTCCGAAACGACTTGGCGCCTCGGTAATCTCTACCGCCTGTGCGCCTCCACGCGCCCTCGCTCTTCGCCTCTTCGTCGTCCATTTAACCATACTTTAACTTTCGGCGGCCATGCTCAGTGACCTCGGGATGCTGTACCTCGATTCTCTGCATGCCGTTGCTGCAAACCTAATCGGCCGGCGCGAGAACGCACGAGAATGTCGTATGGGGTATTCCGACACGCACGGGCCACCTCACATGGGTAGCATCATCTACACCGGACACTTTGGTCTTCTCGCCAAGCGTGCCCGATATCTCCCTTTGACCCGATGCACGTTTGGGATGACGCTGTCCTGCAGTCAACAGGCATCGCCAACATCACCATCGTTTTGTGTCTCTCGTCTCGAAGCACGTCATGTGTTATCTTGGCTAGCTTATGTACAACATGGGTCCGTATAGCCGTATTCGCACCGACTAGCCTCCGCACTCATCGAGCCGCTTGACAGCTTCCGCTTCACAGCTTCGATAGCGCACTAACCTCTTCCACGAAGCCTCGCTCCCACGTCTCGAGTCCTGCTCTGGGGCACCAACCCAGTCTCTTAGCGATTTCACTGCGAGTCCTGCATGTGCTTGCGAACCCCAGCTCAGCAACTTGCTCAACACCACCAGTCAAGAGTTTGGCTCCATCGGCGAGACAAACAGACTTTACCGTGTTACTCTTGACTACGCCGGCGTCGAATGCTGCATTTGCAACCGCCTGCGACACCTCGATCCACGTGTGACGCCCATGTGCGCTGAAAACAACGCCTTGTTTCCCCTTGGGCAGAGAAGCGCCTCCCTTTGACAAGATCTCCACGAGTACCAGCTCGTAGAGCTCTGCCAGGTCCTCGATATGAACTAAAGCAAGAGATCAGCGTGCGTTTGTGACAGAGATTCGGCGGTAATAGTACCGTTGTCCCACACGCCCTTGCCGTCACCGATAACGATGGCTTCCCCTTCAGAGATCGCCGCTCGGGCCAATCGAGGAACTTGCAGACTACGCTTATTCCACAAGCCCGTTCCAACCTAGACGAGGTGTCAATATCGTGCGGGGCCGCAGTTTGCGGGGAGGCGTCGCTCACCCCGTAGATCAATGGAGACATGAGAACGACAGTCTTCACGCCTGACTCGAGTCCAGCATCTATCATGCCAAGCTCCGTTGTGCGTTGAATGTACTTTTTTACTGTGTTGCGCGACTTCTCATACGCATAGATGTTGTCCCTCGAGTCGTCGAATTCCAGATCGGGTTTTGATTCAACGTGAACACCCGAGAGTGGCTGGTCCGCAAGGTTCGAGACACCTGAAGTGTGGACCATCCAAGCATCTTTGCCAGTGGACTTCTGGCGCAACGAAAGACCCTCGATAAAGGCCGCAGCACTGGCGAGATGATAACCGAGCGTCATGTTGAAGATGACGTCGTACTGACTTGCTATCTCGACAAGGCGGTCAGTATCGTCCAGACCTTCGAAGCCGATAACCTTGACCTTGTCACCAAACGCAGCGTGGAGCTGTGCAACTCTTTCTTGGCCTCGAACGAGACACGTAATATCAGCGTCTTTGATCGCTGCATGTTTGCTGCGAAGCAGTTGGTGGAGCACACTGCCCCCAATGTATCCTGTGACGCCGGCAAGCAGAATCCTTTCGTGAGCCATGATTGGAAGATACGACAACGTGATACAAGTACGAGATATCGGCGATGATGATATATTGGCGGTCCGAGGATTGCCTGGGAAACCTGCCTACTTTTGAAGTGATGATTACTAAGAGGGTATTCAGACAACGGCTGGGCCAATACTATGCACCTCGACATACCTGCTCTGCGTGGGCGAAAGACATCATCTTGCCCGGGGCCTCGCACTCCAATGGAGGCAGCGGAGTTCTCTCCGGAACTTTGCTTTGCATCGGTACTGCATTCCCGCCGTTGGAACTTTGTCTTAACAAAGTTTCGCTATTCTCCCGATACGGCCCGCTCCATCGGCATGATAACGCTGACGCGGCTGAATACAAACTCAACACCCTTGGTGACTGCACTACACAACTGTAGCATGGAAGAATTTAGAGTCATGCAGCTAGGGCAAAGTCCTTCATCTCAGACACCCATATCTCCGAATAACGCATATGGCATTCATCGGCCTCATTCAACATGATACCTCATGATAGCTGCAGCGGTGCGGGCCGAATACCAAGATCACTGCAAGCAGGCTTCCTACATCCCAGTCGCCTTGATTGTCTGGTGTTCCTTATGCGAAGATAGTTTTTGGCATCGTTCGTGTCGTTAGTATTGCGATAATCAGAGGTGACTCGTGGTCTGTGGGCTACGATGCAAAGAGGATAGACCGGATGTAATTAGAGTACGACACCACGCGCACATAGACCGTGTTGTCAGCACACACCAAGCTCTCACCGACCTGGGGGCTATCCCCAATGACCTGAACCCAGGCCCGGTGCCCAAAGTCAACACCATCCTCGTGGGGTTTGTCACATGTCAGTGGATGTTACCGTATTACGGCAACTACTTGTTTGGTGCAACAAGTGCCGATTGAGATAAGACGACGCAAAAAGCCAAGTCCTGAGCACCCAATAGCCACGGAAAACCAGTCAGCTTACTCTGACCGGCCGTCTAGCTAGCGTCGGCCGACTGCCGAAGTATCTACCTGGATATGACGAGGAACGTGGGCGAAGTCAAACAGAGAATGAAGCTAGAAACACATGCACTGACGTTACGTGCATAGGGCGAACAGTCCTTGAAGTTAATCGACACTACGCTACGTCACTGAGGCTGAGATCCGTTGTATTCAACAGCCTCAAGTCTAGTCGCATTGCCGACGAAACTTGTGCCCATGATGCTTCCGGGTTAAAACTTGTCTGTAGTCTCGTTGAAAGAGTCGGTATATTCACTGAGTCATTTACCCTACTGCCGGTCGGTTTTCGGTACCAGACTTGTGGGGGTCTAGTTTACCCTCCACTGATCAGCCTGCGATCTAGCAACTAGTGTATGGCAATCGTCTGGGGACTCTGTATCAACCTAGCTTTGAGGGTCTCCAGGTTCTAACCACGGCGATCCCCAACGTGCGTGAAATTGGCGGGATCGCAGGGGGAGTGACTTCGGGAGAGTATTATAGCGATTGATCAAACGACCTGACTATAAGACGCCACTTCCACGTTAGGAGCCGTTAATCCAACGCTTCATCTCATACCTCTTCATTGTATCTACCTTGATCGCTCACAATGAACGTCTCTACTCCAACTTTTCCATGGCATCTCATGCCGACCATGGACTCTCTCCCTTCTGCAGAGCAGTTCTCCACCATCGAGATGCACCCGCGCAATATAGTCGCAAGTCTCTTGGCCATAGTGATCAGCTTTTCTTACCTTCGATCTGTTACGAAAAAGACTGGCCTTGAGCGCTTCCCCGGACCGTGGTATGCGCCCTATACGGCCCTGCATCTGCGATGGCTCTTCGCTCGTGGCACGATCCACGAATATGTCGAGAAGATGCACAAGCAGTACGGCGATGTCATCCGTTTGGGACCAAGACAGCTCTGGATCTCTGATAAGGGAGCTATGAAGCAGATTCTTCTCACGATTGATCTACCCAAGGTTACTATGTATGCTGAGATCTCGAGAGACAGAAAAAGTCCCGGTCTCTTTGGAGAGATGTAAGTATCAGTCTCCCGTATTTCCTTGCGAAAACGACGGTAGCTGACGCCGAAAACCCACAGCCGCCCCGTTCCCCACCGCAACCTCAAGAAGTTCCTCAGCCCAGCTTTTACTGTCTCTTCTGTAGACAAGCTAGACACGTTCTTCAAAGCGTGCACATCGATCTTGCTCAGCAACTACTACACTGAAGTCGACAAGGCTATCGCTCAAGATGCCAAGTCCAACCCCAACGGCGACTTCGAGACTGACCTTATGCGTGACTTGCACTGTCTTGCGCTAGACATCATGGGCGAGTCGTCATTTGGTAAGGGCTTCGGGCAGATCGACAAGATCTTCGATCCCAGCAAGCTGTTGTCCGGCAGGGACAAGCGCTGGAGCAAGATTCCCGACGCCATCTTCAATGGTCAGGCGAAGAGGTATGGACTGGTCTTTGTGAAGAGATTCCTCAGGCGCATGGGATATGAGTGGGAGGTTGATTGGCCCAAGGAGATGACGTCTGCGATTTGCGAACTCGTCGACGAACGCGCGGCAGCTCAGGGAGGACACGAGAACAAGAAACGCATCGATGTCCTCCAGCACATGTTGGACGAGGGCGCGCGACCAGACACGGGAGAGCGTATGTCGAACCAGGACATCATCGATCAGATGTCTGAGCTCCTTCTCGCTGGATCGGAAACCACTTCTGGTACGTTAGATTCATCCATGCCCCATTGCCACTCCTTAGCTCCTAGGTTGCGGCCTTCGAGTTTCCCTCTCCACTGCGCATCATAGTAGCTAACGAGGCGCCTTAGGAACCATGGCATGCCTGTTTGTGGAACTCGCACGAACCCCCGCCGCTCTCGAAAAGCTACTCGCTTCTCTTCCCGTCCTTGGCCCCAATGACCCCATCCTAGACTCAAAGACGGTGCGCACAGACCCACAATATCGCTACCTCGAAGCCTGTCTGAAGGAGAACCTGCGTATGAACCCCATTGCCTCGGAACTGGGTCGCCGTACCACAGACCAAGGCCACAACATCAACGGCAACGAGATTCCGCCTTACACGATTGTGTCGGCCAGCTACAGAGCGCTCCATCGTGATGAGAGGTACTGGCCTCAGGCGGAGAGGTTCTGGCCGGAGCGGTGGCTGGAAGGTGAGGAAAGAGAGGACGCACCCGAACCTGAGTAAGTCGCCCTTGGTGATGAGACGAGAGATTCGATGTGGACATTTTCTAACGTGAGATTGTAGTCTGGATGCTTACTTTCCATTCTCCAACGGCCGACACAATTGTATCGGACAAAAGTATGTTACCTTCCCCCTCATCTTCTGCTGCAGCAGCGCACTAACATGCATGGCCAGCTTCGCATACGCAGAGATGCGCACAGTCTCGGCCAATCTTCTTTCTCGCTTTGCTCTCGAGGAGGCTGGATACCAGCAGATCCAACTCCGGCAATTCATCACGATGCAGTTCCATGATGGCAAGTGGAGAGTTGTGCTGAAGCCCCGCTGGAAGGATGCTGCGAAGGCTTAATGCGCGAGCTTTCGCGTCGCTACTGCAGCATGTTGGGGTGGACTGCGTTGAGCGGGAAGCACTCGATTGAAGAACAGATTGAAGAACAGATTGAAGAACAGATTGAAAGAAAGGGGAAAGCGCGAAGCAGGACCATTCTCCAGTTTGAGGGCACATTCCTTTTCTCTTTTGGGTAGTGCGACTAGACAGTAGAAGGCACAATTTGATTGATTCCACCACCAACTCCCGTGCTCGTCTGCTTTCTTGCAACATGACATGGCTTAGAGATAAAGGGTAAAGTTTTACCGCGCGCGGCAAAATCCTCGTATTTACTAATTATTGCTTATTAGCTTAATTTACGCACTAGTAGAGCTTAGGCTACCTACCTAGAAGAAGTAGTCTTTTAGATAATTGCAACTATTGTAATAACTACTACCTACAACTATAGCTCTAGCTAAATTAATTAAATTTACGCGTAATAAGACTCTTTACTATTTATTCTATTTTTTTTACGTCTGCTACTCTACCTCTATAGCTTAAAACTAGTCCTGCGTTAACTACGCTAGCTTTATAAGTTATAAGATTTTATCTAAATAAGCTATATCTATACTAACTTTCTACTCTAAAGCTTACTCTCTAATTCTCTACCTTTTTACCTACACTACTATAATTTAGTAGTTAATAGGCTAGTAATAATCTATAAGTTCTCTTTTGTCTTTTTCTTAGTTTTTTATTTTAAAGCTTATTAATTCTAATTATATTCTTGTTCTCTACTTTAGAGTTTAGTATAATATCTCTACTCTTAGCTATAACCTCTAAATCTATAAGCTTTCTCTTTTACTTTCTTAGTAGCTACTTTAAGTAGTATAGAGTTAGCTTCTAATTTTTAGTTTACATACTATATTCTACTACCTACCTACTTACTTTTTACTTTAAACTTTGCACTTTATAAGCTTTACTCTCTCTTCTCTAGCCTCTTTCTTACTCTATACTAACTACTTTACTTTCTAGACTTAGCTTTGCTTTTAGTAGAACTTCTACTAGAATCTATAGCTATATTATAAACTACTTTACTATCTAACTAGCTACTACTCTAGCTATTAAGATTTTAAGCGCGTCTAGCTTAAGTAGTAATAGTACTAATACTACTATAGATAACCTTAGTAAAGATAATAATACTATACTTAAAACTAGTAAGAGCGTTCTAGATACTATTAAGACTAGTAATGTTAAAGTTACGCAAGAAGATAAAGAGGCACTTAAGCGTATTAATAGTAATAATAAAGATAACTACTCTATTTCTAAAGGCCTTATTAATCTAATAGACAACTATAGTAATAAAAGTAATATCTTATCTCTATTCTCTATCTCTTCTAAGATTATTCTATAAACTTCTTATAAAAGAGTAAAGAAGCGTAATAAGCTATATTAGTGCAAGAGAGAGTAGCACAAAATAAAGAGCTACGCTAGAGTTAGACTTCTTTATACTCTATTTAAGAATTAATAGACTAAGCTATAACCTAAAGAAAAGAGTAAGAACGTATATTTCTAGACCTCTAATTTAAAATCTTGTTCTTTTCTAGTAACTACTAATATCTACTAGGCAAAATATAGTATAGAGAACAAGATTATATAAGTAGAGCTCTATTTTTCTATTCTTTTTCTTCTACTATTACTTCTCTTCTATTCTATTCTTCTAGTACGCTTAGCTCTGCTTTTTCTTCTTTCTAATATCTCTCTAGCTCTCTATTCTAAGATCTTAGTCTTTCTAGTATCTACGTCTAGACTTTACTAACTATACTACTATATAGAATTATATTTTATAACTATAATAGAAAGACTCTATAATGCCTATTCTGCAAGAAAATAAGTAGTATACGTATAGCTTATTTCTTCTAGAGATCTTAGAAATTCTACTACTTCTACTAATAATATTAGTCTATGCCCTCTAAGAAGAATACCTCTAATAGTACTAAGCTATATATAGTCTACTCTTATAGCTATCTCTTTGCTGCTGCTTTTCTTAAAGCTATCTATATAAAGTAAGAGCTTTACGTAGTATACTACTCTAAATACTAGTTATTCTCTAGCTTTACTAATAGAATATCTAGAAGATAGCTAAACTCTACTACTACAACAACAAGCTAATTAAGCTAACCTAGTTCTTTAGTAAGTATGCGCTTACAATTCTTACTATATTTAAGATATACTTTAGTAAATTTATAGTTAAAAAGGTATATTAGACCTTTTAGTAGCAAAACCTTAAAATATATAAGAAATATAGCTAATAAATTCTATTCTGTAGGCGCTAAATATTAGTAACGTCTAGGCAAAGGCGCTATAGAGCTAGATTAATGCGCGTAACACTTTAGAAAGTTACCTTAGTATATACTTTTATCTTTTCTAATCTTTAGATAGAACTTCTACTAATTATTTCTAGCTTCTACTATTAATATTAATAACTACCTAATACTATAAGTAAATAGAAAGGTAGCAAAGGCGTTAAAAGTAAAGTTAGCTTAGGCCTCTAAGAAGCGCTCTATAGAGCTAGATAGTAATAACGCTAATATAGAGAAAATACTAGTAAAGAAAAAGAGTTGTTCTGTAAAGACCTGTAAGACCTAGAAGTTAATAGAGGTTTAGACTAGTATATACGTTATACTTGCGCGCTGTTATACGCTTTCTAGAAAGTCTAGTTACTATTATATATACAACACTATAGCAGAAGGTTAGGTAATAAGGTATACGTATTTAAGGTTAGAATACTAAGTTACATAAAATAGTTAATAGATTACTCTTCTATAACGTAATATACCTTAATTTCTATTAATTATAATCTTTCTTATATAATATTACAAAATTTCTACTCTTATATAGCTAACTTTATCTCTAGCCTTTTAATGCAGGCTAGTTTTGTATTACTACTAAAGGCTCTATACTACCTACACGCAATTTAGCTATTTTATACTTAGTAATTTTAATAGTATTAATTAGTTAGGTTAAAACTTTACCTCTTAAAAGCCTTTAATTTCTTAGTATATATAGAAAGTATAGAATAATTAGTATAATTGCTAACTTTAGAAAAGAGTAAAGTTTCTTATAGAAAGAAACGCGCGTTTTGTAGAAAGAGCGTAAGTAACTAAGGTCTTATGCTAAAAAGCTTAGAAATACCTACGCTAAAGGCGTAAAAAATTTTTAGTAACTACGTATAAATGTAAAACAACTATATTAGTAGTATTATAGCTGTTACTACTCTAAAAGTTTAATTATTAGTTTTACTACTCTTTTAACTATATATTTTATAAATTATAGAGGTTTTCTAGTAATTATAGTAACGCTGCAATTTTTTAAAGTAACTTTATATTATAAGTTAATTGTAAAAAACTATACGCCTACTTATAATAATAGAAAGAGAATATAATAGCTAGTTATACTGCGTATTCTATAGTATAAGCTTATATTTAATAAGCATTTTATCTATAACTTATATTATTATTCTTACGTAAAGCACTAGCTGTCTATATATCTTATTTTCTTATACTACTTTAATACTTTAAAGCATAAAAACAATAGTGCACGTAATTAATAGAGTTATTTCTCTAGATACTTATTATCTCTATTACTATTACTAAAGTCTAGCTAGTTATAGATACTGCGCTATTTTGTAGTAATGTCTACATCTTTAGTTATTAGTACTCTCTTATTTCTATTCTTTCTGTATAAGAATACATCTATAAACCTATCTTCTAGTAAAGCGTGTACCTCTACTACTACTAATTTATTAATCTATTATTATTCTTTATAAGCTTTCTCTATAATCTTCTTCTAAGGCAACTACTTCTAGGTCTCTGCCTTTTTGCTACGCCTAACTATTCTATAGTATTCTAGCTAGAAGCTATTAGAAGAATAATATGTTTTCTATATAATAACTATAGTCTTTTTATGTATTAGCGTAATTATATTAGTTTCTCTAGAAGTTATATATGTTTTGCTTGCTCTAGTGCTTTAAGTATGTTACCTAAAAGTTAGAATCTTCTTTAGTAGAGCTCTTGTAAATCTAAGGCTAATAGCTAATTAGAATATTTATTCTATTAATCTATAGTAGTAAAGCTAAGCTAAAGTTCTAGTTATATACAAGAGTTTTAATATTATTACTATAAATCTTCTGTTCTCTTAGATATAGCACTATACTAGGCACTACTATAATACGCTAACTACTTACTATAATAGCGCAGCGCTTAGAGCTGTTATAGAAGCGCTTTAAAGGTATTTAGAGTTCTAGTATTACGCTCTAAGCACCTATAGTAATACACTTAGTGTTACTAATATATTACTAGTTATTTAGCGCAAGACCTATTAGTAGTAGGTCTACTCTAGCCTTTTAGTATAACTAGTAGTAGAGAGCCGCAAAGAGCGTAATATACTAGTGTAGTTCTATATAGAAAGTAAGTAGCTACTAAAGTAGGTCTGCTCTTTGTAGTAGTAGTATTAACCTTCTATTATTATTAAGTTTAGGCATAATACTCTTGTAAATACTAGAATATTTATCTATTAACTTCTTACTACTAGCTTGCTAAAATTATCTTAATAAATTTACATAATATAAATGTATATAAAGAGAATTAGTAGTTATAAGCTCTTTTAGTGTATAGTAGTGTATATTCTATCTAGCTAGGCGCCTTACGTAAATATTAGTATTATAATGTAATTCTAGCGTTTTTATAGAGAGCTTCTATACATAAACGCGCAGGTTATAAGGTCTTGTCTTATAAGGTAGCTATAGGCTATAAATTCTACTATAGCTCTATATATCTCTCTTATATTAGCACTAATATTAGTATTTTCTATATTTTAGGCTATATCTATTAGCAGCGCTACTACTATATAAGGTAGTAGTTGCTATTTTCTATAGGCTTATTATCTACTAGCTATAGTTATAAGCGTAAGTAAATATATAGTTAAAATAGAGAGAATATCTTATTTTATATAAGAATTCTAAACGCAATATCTATTAATAGCAC